CTAAGTTCTACCTATATTGAAATAAGATGGATTAACTACAAAAGTTAAGTCCTACGTATAACTATGTGTCAGGTCAATAAACTATTTGAATGATACACCTTGAACGGACTTTATATATTTATGTTATGGTGCCATGTATGAGCTTGAGTCTCAAGACCATGGTTAGGGTGCGTATATCGCCTAGGATGGATAACTGGACAGTGGTTTTGTTCCCTGGTAGGTCTAGATACACATGACCACATTACGTGCGATTTGCATGGTATCTCTACGCAGGCTGAGACATACCTATTGGACTAGAGAGCGTCCTATAGTGTGTAATATATTCATATATGGACTACTCTAGATATTGTTGAGTCTATCTAAGATGTATCTGCGTATCGGATTCTTGTTTGGATCGTAGTAGATCAGGACTTGCATGTGGGCCTGACCCACTCTATTATTTTTCAGGTATTCGACAGTACCAAGTTTAGAGCTTGATCGTGTTGATGCAGATACAGACACTCACTCTTCCGATTACATAGGATTTCCTTTCTATTTTAATTTTGGATTTTAATTCTGTAAATTTATACAAGGTTTTGGGTTTAGGGGTCCACTAGGTGGATTCCCGAGTTGTACGGTTTTAAATTATACTTAATTTATTATTTCAAGTTTGACGATTCTTATTTTAGTTTTCTTCCAGCGTATAATTAATTTATTTTTAATTCAGTTTTATTTTCTGCTTGTCTACATTTCAATTGTTTGGTATCCCTCGGATCTGTGCTCGGACTTGATCACCCGTGGCTCTAGAATCGAGGGGTATCACAATATGTATATGTATATTAGTTTAATTATTAGTAATTATTAATAATTGAATTTTAATTTTATTCATTATATAAGGTGTATTATAAATTCTAGGGTTTTATATAGTTTCACGGGTTGCCGACTTGGTGGTATTTTTATTTTATTTTTCTTTTCATTCTCTTAGTGTAATTAGGGTTCGAGATGTATACGCCTATAAATATAACTATATATGTCTGTCTAGGGTTGAAAAACCCTATTCACGTACATAGTGACTTGAGAGGAAAACAGAAAGAGACTTGAGAGAAAAACAGAGAGGCTCAAGGAAGAAAGAAGGGATTGTTTCTGGGTTGAACCAAGAGTAACGAAGGTGTTGAACAACAATCTAGGAATTTGTTGGAAAACTCAGAGACGGTGGTTTAAGGTTTCAAAACTGAAACCGAAGGTAAGTTCCTATTTTAACTCCTTCCCTTAAACATGTGTTCTTTGCATGCTAGATAGTCTCGAGGACTTAATCAGACTTTAAAACGAATTTGTTATGCATGTTAAATCAGACTTTAATCTATGTTATACATTGTTAAATTGAAACCGATTTTTTTTTAAACAGATTGTTTCTGTTAATTGTTTTATTTCTTGTTAACGATGCGTATTGGAATTTTTATGAGATTCTAAGATCTTTGGGAGATAGATTGAACTTCTAGAAACCGTAATAAGTTATTACACAAGGGTTTAAACAATAGCAAAGACGAGGAAAATGATTAGAAATCAGGTTACGGCTCTTAGAGGGAGAGAGCCGGCTCTCACAAGGGTGGAGCCGGCTCCCTTGTTTTGGGAGGCGGCTCCTTCTCCAGTTTTTTGGTTATTCGTAGTTTGAGCTCTGTTTGGTCGATTGGGTATTCTGGAATTGTTTTAAATTGCAGTAAATGGTCTAAATAATTGTTTTAGACATTCAAAAACATTTGGAAGCAGGGTTACGTTAATATGCTTAGGAGTGGAATGACATGAAGTTAAACAGAAAACCTGCATGTTGAGTATTGAATGATTAATTTAACTTATTACTTGTGTTTAACAAATCTTTTCTACATGATTTAATAGTGTTAATCATGTTTCAGCAGTATTATAAGTGTAGTTGATTATCTGAAAATAACTATGCTTAGATTGGATTAATTGATGTTTTAATTTATTGTATATTGCATCAATTATTAGATTATTTGAAGGATTTAAATGTTTAGTTTTATTTTAACAATTTAAAGGACTTGAACATGTTTTGTAAATCTTGTAATGGATGCATAATATAGTCATATATATATATTAGACTTTATTTATGCTTATTTTGGAGTATGGTTGATGATTAAATTTATCATTTACTGCATTAATGATTTGATTTGTGAATTGTATGCACTGGTATGGGATGGTGGCATACTATGGACGGATTAATTCAAAATACTAAGTCCTACCTATACTGAAATATGAAATGAATTAACTATAAAAGTTAAGTCCTACTTAGATAAATGTCAGGTCAATAAATAGTTGAATGACATACCTTGTGTTAGATGGATTTTATATAAATGATTAGGGTGCCGTGATATAAGCTTGAGTCTCAAGATCATGGTTAGGGTGCGAATATTGCCTAGGATGGATAACTGGACATAGTTGCTGTTCCCTGCTAGGTCTAGGTACACATGCCCATATTATGTGCGATTTGCATGTTATCTCTACTTAGGCTGAGACAGACCTATGGGCTAGTGAGCGTCCTATAGTGTGTACTTATACATATATGGACTACTTTAGTTATTGCTGAGATATCTATGATGTATCTGCATATCGAGTCTCTGCATGAATTGTAGTAGAGTAGAACTTGCTAGTGGGCCTGACCTACTCTTATATTGTTCAGGTGTTCGTCAGTTCCAGGTGTAGAGCTTGATCGTGCTAAGTAGAGATAGTCACTTACTCCTCAGACTACGTAGGATTTCCTTTTATGTTTTAGTTTTGGATTTTTTTTTCGTACTTTACTTTATTTTGGGATTTTATTAGGGGTCCACTAAATGAATTCCCGAGTTGTACATATTGAAGGTTTTAAAAAGTTTGGATTATATTATAACTTTTGAGAATTTAATAATTAGAATTCTTTTCAGCTTTATTATTTATTTCTTAATTCTTTTGTCATCTGTGTTCATTTAAATATTAATTATTAGGTATTCCTAAGATCTGCGCTCAGACTTGATCACCCGTGTCTCTAGAATCGAGGGGTATCACAAAAGCGGTAGTGGTGTAAGAATGTTGGTGGTGGTGGAAGGAGATGGTGGTGTAGGTGACAGTGGTGGAAACCAACGGAGGTGACTGTGGCGATGGCGATGGCGATGGCGGAATGCGGTAGTGGTAGTGGTGGAAGGCGATAACGGTGGTAGTGGTGGAAGGCGGTGGTGAAAAGCGGTAGCGGTGGTGGTGGCAGCAACTGTAGCGGCAGCGGTGTAAGACGGTGGCGATGGTGAAAGGCGATAGTGGTAATGGTGGTAGAAGGCAGTGGCGGTAGTGGAAGGCGATGGTGATGGTCGTAGAAGGTGGTGGAAGGCAATGACGGCGGTGACGGTAGTGGAAGGCGGTGACGGCAATAGCGGTGGACGACGGCGGCTGCGGTAAAAGGCGGTGGCGGTGGTGGTGGTGAAAAGTGACGGTGGCGGTGGTGAAAGGCGGTGGCGGTAGACTGTAGTGGAAAGCGGTGGGTGGTGGTGAAAGTCGGCGGTGGTGGTGGTGGTGGTGAAAGGTGAAGGTGGTTGTGGTAGAAGACAATGGTGATTTTTAGACTTGGAACGTGAGAGCTTTTTAGGAAGTTGATTTTTTAAAAAAATTTACTTGGGAATGGAATAGACATTTCATAGGTTTAGTTGTGGAATGGATTTTCAACCCAATAGAATGATAATTCCCATTTTAAATTGCATATCAAATAAAAGAATGGTTGGAATGGACATTTCATTCCTGCATACCAAATGCAGCATTAGTGTATTTGTTTCAAATTACAAGTATGAGAAAAGAACCGGCTCAAAATAGGTTAATACATAGTATCTTTTAAGTACACCTTGTAATTAAAAAACTGAATATATGTGTTTTTTTTTTTTTTTTCCTTTTCTTTTTCAAGTGCAATTATCATAAGAAACAACTATTGAAAGGTCACTTCTTATTTGAAATTGTAATATTTATAGTAAATTTAGTTAATAAGTACATTTAGTATTGCATAAATGTGTCCTCTATTTCCGAATGCAATCTGAAAAACATCAAATTTAACTATTTGCTGAAAAATCTTTGTCGTCAAAATCTCTCAAAGTTACTATTTTTTTTAGCAAGCTTACTATCAGGGATCTCTCTGAACTCAAGTGATTCAGTGCATCTAACGAGGCTCATATAATCTATACACGCAATTTTTATAATTCCTGATTTCACATTCATATCAGTGTTGATTAATTTCAAAATACAAAATCACCGTATATTAAACCCATTCATAATTGGAAGAGGTTGAAAAAGTTTAACCCACCTTTTTCTCTCGCCTCTCTCTCTAACCCTCAGCTGCCTCCCCTTCATTTTCTCTCTTCTGCTCCCCACTCTCTCACCTCCCACCATTTAATGCATGCTGTAATAAATTCGCTCGGTTAGGTGAGTTTCACGCGGTTTTGCTATTGTTTTGTTAGATCTGCTTTGTTTGACTTGCTTCTCTAGCTTGACAAGGTGGATCTGTTATTTTGTTTCCGGCTAGATCTCTAATCTATGTCGAATTTTGGTGTCTTCGCCTTTTTGTGCGGAGTTTGGATAGTTTTTCCCTAGTCGACGGCGCCTTGTGGATGCAGCCTTGGAGCTCTTACCTTGATGATGGCCTGACATTTGGGTCACTCCTATTGTTGCTCCCTCTTGGGTGGTCTGCTGGTATGCTTTGCCTTGTTTCTCAACAAATCGAAGGTCTGTTCTTCGATTTTTTTCTTTTATTGCCTTTTGATTTGTTTGCCTATATACCGTGTTTATGGCTGGGTTTGTAGATGCCGTATGACTATTTTTTTTGCCATGATAAAAAAAAAATAAATAAATAAAATAAATAAATTGGAAGAGGTTGCAGAATTTGCTCTTGAAGTCTCCCCCATCATGCTAAAAAATTCCCACCTATTATTGGACGAAGAGGCTTACTCAATATCACGTCTCAAATTTAAGAAGAAAAATTCAAATATATCAAAGCAATATGAATGAAACTTTAAGCACACGTTTCCTTGCTTAGGCAAGAGCTCAATTATGTTCTTAATTTCACCACAAATTCAAGCATTTCTATAACTTCACAACTATTTTCCCCAAGCAACCTAACTCACATCAAGCAATAAAAATGACTTGAACAAAAGTGTCATCTAACTTTCCTCGTGAATATTAAAATGGCAATGGATGAGGAAGGCTACACCGGTTGTCGAATTGTAACACTACTAAAACTTCCGAGTGGCCATTTTATTTTTTATTTTTCAGAAGCTTATACAGCACTCGAAAACATATTTAAATACATATAACGCCATAACAGTCACATAACAAAATTCATACTAATATATAAGCACCGGAAGTTTGTCAGGATTTCAGATCATTGGTCATGCAACAGCTAACTCAGGTCGCGGAGCGAATTACTGCCTCAAGCTTTCAACAATGTAAGAAGCATACAGATCCCTGCAATCGAAAACATCCATGTAAGATAATAATGACCGAGGACACTTGGAGGCTAAGTGTATGAATACAATACATTCTAAAACAAAATTTGAATAAACGAGAAACTAAGCTTCAGTTTTGTACAACAAATTCAGATTACGCACATGGAGTATTTGATAGCTTCAATAGCAGCATCAGCCGGCAGAAACTCATCAACCGCAACTGATTTGTTCTCATTCTTTTTGTCTATTCATGAGAAATGAAGGGTGTGCAATGCAACCAAGCAGATAAAGTGCATGATTAATCATACGTAATACATTTATCGGATGGCCAAGATTATAAAATTTGGTCATATTATATAATGACGTCAACCGAGATGGTAAATAAACTCAAATATAAGGTTTATGGTGCACATTCAGGTGCCTCAAATTGAAGGACCAAAACCGGGTAATTACCTTTGTTTTTTGTTTTTGTGTGTGTTTTACAGTAATATACTGGGCGTACAGTAATACCAAAAGATCAAGATCTATGAGTGCACACAAATAAGTTAAACAATCACTAGTGCATGTAAGTGCATAGTGGATACAGTCCTCGAAGAAGCGTCGGATCTCGGCAAGGCGGTGTGGAGGAAGATCCTTGATATCCTTGCAATGGCGAAACTCAGGGTCATCGGCACATACTGCTATAATTTTGTCATCCTTTTCACCCTATAAAAGTTTTTAGTTTATGAATGAGTGAATGGTAATTACAGTTCCTGAGGGTATTAGATAAAAAAAATCAACAGAATACATATAGAAACTAATCTGAAACTTAGCAAGCCTGTTGGTGAATTTCAAAAGAGTGAATAACAAAAAGTTCAATAAGTTAATTATTATGTCTGCCAAAGGTTGGCATCATCATCATCTAATTCCCTTCCGTGTCTTGTCATTAGTCATGATCAGGGAGAAATCAGGTAACTCAAGGCTTTAAAATGAGATAACTGACAGGGGAAAGGTTAATTGATACAAATGAAAACCTTACGGAATGAAATTGAGTTTTCCTACCATTAACAGTTCAAGTTAAGATACCACTCCTGTACCGAAGTCATACACTGATGAGAAGAAATCAAGCAACTTTAAACATGTAATTTATGAGCTTCTTTGGCAACAGATAATTATAGGACAAGAAGCCCCGCGACAGCTTTTGCCCAATCCATCCTTCCCTGCCTGAATATTTCACTCTCTAACAGCCCCTCGACGAGACACCGATATTTAGTCATAGAATATTGTGAATATTGAAGATACAAAATTAAGCAGCACAATAAAAAGCCTTTACCTGATCAATCATAGGCATCAGTCCAATAGCACGAGCACGAAGGAAAGTACCAGGCAGTACAGGTTCCTATACAAGAGGAAAAATCCAAATATTATCATTATTAATTTAGCTGAACAAGTGATCTCATATAACTTCCATTATGGTGAGATTAAATATGCGGTAAAGAAGCTACCTGCATCAGTATCAGGACGTCCATAGGATCACTATCTTCACAAAGGGTTCGTGGGATGAAACCATAGTTGTGTGGATAAACAACTGATGAGTATAAAACTCGATCAACCTATTTGGAAAAACTTCATTCATGATTAGTCAATCTTTCTTTCTTGAACTTCTTGGGATATAACCACTAAAATTTACCACAAGCACGCAACAATAAACTTGAATCCAATTACATACATGTTCAACATAAAATATATTCACAATTTAGAGTAGATGGTGATTACTATGGTATTAGAACCGCACCACTTCCCATAATTATAATTGATACATGTGCTGACCCACTAATGACAGAATGTGGCCACCATAAGGGGGCGTGTTAGAGGATAAAAAGACTTAAGTTACCCCCTCGAACAACTTAAATGTTTAGAGTAGATGATGGTTAATATAAATGATACAAGAAACAAGTGTAAAGGAAAATTCACATTTGCCATTGGTAATTTCCTGTGCAAATGATTCTTCGTTACATCTATTGACTAAGACCCAGCTTGCTAATGAAATCTGTATGCCAATTATTTATGCACTCTACTAACATGAAATCGGAACTTGTCTTGAAGCTGTCACAAGTTGAAAGCTATTAATGAACCATTTGGGCCTTGCTCAACATCACTTTCCATGTGATTCTTATTGACTAGCTGTCTATCTGAGGTAGTTTATTCTGCTCCTAGTGAAGAAAAATTGCTAGGCTCAAGTCCCAGTGGAGAGACATGGATGGTAAGAGGGATTGTTTCATTGGTATGACGAGCACTACCTACATTGTGTAACCCAGAAAAATACATACGAGTGCACAAAGAGATAGAGAGAGAAGATACAACTCCCACAAAATATGTCATTATTGTGGTTTGAGATAATCAGAACATCAGCAGAATCCTATTAAGAAACATGAAGATCAGGATTAGTATGACCTCATAATTGGAATATATATACTCAGCAACACATATGGAATTTTGTTTCATTGTGAAACTGTCAAATGATATATTCAAACATCTCTTAAATACCTAACCCATATAATGCAGATATTTCTGTTGCCATCTTTTGTTCTTTTTCTTTTGAGTGAAAATTACACCCACGGTATCCCTTGAACATAATTAAAAAATGATTCAGTTCTACTACCTAAAAGTTTGTTTATCAATAAATTAAGTTACCTTGAAATTGGAGAAAAGGAACACAGGAAAAGATAAAGAACCTCACTTTTATTAGGCCGCTTGTCTTGTCAAGTTCGTACTTAACTTTGCTGCCTTTTCCAATTTCAATCACCTGCCATAGAAATTCACATTAAGATTCAAGTGTAGTTCCTAACACCACCATTTGTTTTAGATGGGTGAATTTCCAGCCAGCTGTCTCACTGGAGCAAAACTAAGAGGAGTTCTAAGGATCTTCAAACTATTTAAAGCAAACAGGATTTAGAAATTGCAAAACTTACACAGTTGAAAACTGCCGGTGCACCTGGCCCTGCATAAGCCAAAATATCAAACATTATTAAACAAGTATATAAGATCCCATACCATTACACTCTTGAAAGTCTAAATCAGACCTGAAGAGAATATGTGAGATTTAGACCTGAAGAGAATATGCGAGTAAAGTGGGATATAGAGAAGACCGGTAGAAAGATAAATTTTTATTTACATATAATTACATAAGACTTGACACAGAGTCACCGATGTGGACATTCATCCATTATTGATTAGGAGATATAAGTAACATTTTAGCACATGAAAGTTGTACCTATTTCTAAGTCATGCCATGGATGAGCCGCAACAGATCTTCGTGACATCGAGGAGAGGATTCTCTCATTGAGAACTACATGAGGATGAGAGAACCCCGTGTTCTTTCCACTCCCTTCTCCGTTAGACATGTTAACCCTCGAAATAGCTAAAACACAACAGAGATTAAAATCATAAAAAATAACTGAGCTCGATAAACCAAAGTCTAGATGGACTGCATATAATGCAATGCAAACCTTACTTCCATTTAATTCAATTAGAAAATAATTAAAAATAAGAACATATGTATTTCTTGATATTCCACAAATACTAAGTTGCTTTACTCAAGACTTTGCATAAATTGAGCTAAAAGCTGTTGGCATGTCCTAGACAGAAAAATGCAAATTCAAGTATAAACAAAGAAAATAAAATTAAGTTGCTTCCCCTCATTGTGAAGTAGCACAATTTATCACCAAACTTTCTTTCTTTTCCAAATAATCAATCAGAGTTTCAATTTTAGGGGACAATTTACAAAAAAGAAACTTGAGAACACAAACAGACTTCCATTAATGCGGGAATGAATTCTAAATGACAGGGCACCAAAATAAGAGAGATAAAATCATACAAACCCTTTGCAAAGATCACTTGAACATATGAATCACAATTCACAAATAAGGAGAAAAACCAAGACATAATCAAAAAAGATTTTGACAAAACAGAAAATAAAGCCAATCATAAACTACCACAAATCTACATGCATGTGTGCGGACGCCTGTATGAAGGCCCAGTGGGGGCAATTGCTATTTTATACCTACTGATTTTTTCCCCCTGAATTATATACCTAAAAAATTTGAAAAATACCCCCACTGAAATTACAAAAAAAAAAAAACCCATTATTGCCCCCACCCCATGGTTTTATTTATTTATTAGGGTAAAAGTTTGCCTATTTTTGGACAATGACACCCCTTCAAGTTTGAAAAATAGACAAAAAGACCCTGAAGATGGTGAATTGACCTTATTACCCTTTCAAATGAAATTAACATTTTAATTGACTTAAATACCCATCTCAAACCCTAACCCAAACCCATCTCAAACCCTAACCCGAACCCAAACCCAACCCACTTGTGTGAAGACCCCTCTCCCCTTTTCTCTCTGTATATACATTGAAGAAAAAGGCAACAGGAAGAAAAAGGCATGAGAGCAGGACGTAGATGGATGGCAATAGAAGGAGTGGGGGTACCGAAATCAATGTCGGGATAGACGGATTCCGCCGCCGCCACCTCGTGGTGCTTGAACCCTTCGTCATGGTGGTGGTGGTGGTGACGACGCATGCTGCCATGGAACATCATCGGATTGAAGTCACCGTATGAAATTTCGTGTCGGTGAAGATGAGGGTTCATCAACTTGAAGCGGTGGCCGCAACCACAGTGAGAGAAATGGAAAGAGAAGGGACGTTTCAATTGGAAGTGACGGTTGATTGGAGCTCAAAGCAGTGGATCTGTTGGTGTTGTGTTTGAGGTCGTCGTCGATGATGGTGGTTGAGGTGTGGTGGTGGTTCGCCGGTGGGTTGGTTTGAGGTTTGTTGCAGGTTTGGTGGTGGGTCTGAGAAGGGTTTGTTTTTTTGTTCATTTGCTCGGTTTGGGTTTGTGATGATGGTGGCTGTGTTGTGTGTAGCAAGTACAGAAGTGATGGTGGTTGTGTTGGGTTTTGCTGGGTTCGAGTAAGTTCCATTTGGGTTTAGCAAGTACAGAGGTGGCGGTGGCAAAGCTCTGGCGAGGTCAAGGTTGAGGGTGGTGGTTACTGTGGTTGTTTGTGTGTGTACATATATATATATATATATATGAAAAGGGTAATTTGGTCATTTAAGTATTTTGATATTTTATAATTAAAATAAATAAAATAATAAAGGGTAAAGTGAACTTTTCACATATTTTAAGGCTTTGTTTGGATGAAAAAATCTCACAAGGGGTGTGACTGTACAAAAATAAGAAAACTTTCCTCTGAATGACCTTACCCCAAACCTCAGGGTGTCTTTGTACTTTACCCTATTTATTATTATTATTTTTTTATCTCCTTTGTTAAAGATCCGCCCCATCTGACATAATTTTCTGGGTCCATAGTAGTAACAAACAAATGTTTTGCACAATTTAGATTTGGGGGAAACCACACAACCTCACATTCAAATATAAATTTGATTTATAATGGATAGTGGAAATCAAAATGAATACAGATATTACACACGCTCAAATTAGTAGTATAAAGATTTGTCATGCAACGAAAGAATGTCGGAAATTCCCGGGTATGAACAGAGATTCAACATTTCGAGATCTAATCAATTTAACAAAATAAGAAAAATTAATGAGAAATTTAGCATCCACATGCCCGCTAATCACCATAAACTTAAAAAATGAAACCAACATAATAAGCTCAGCAATTCCGTATTGATGCATGCAATTTTTGAAAAAGTTCAATTAAATTGGCTTCTTGTCGTAAAGTTGTTTTTAAGCAAACAATCTATACACATCCAAATCCTGTATGTATATATATTATATAGTTATATACAAAAGCAGTTATATATATATATGTGTATATATATTCACTGAAAGCTCTTGAAACCAAGTAAAGAGATAAGGTGAACTTACAGTGAGACGCTGAAATGTGAAGTAGAGCTTCGATTGGCGTTTTGGGAAAGCGAGTGACTGAGTGTGTGTGTGTGTGTGTGTGTGTGTATATAAAGAACTGCGTAAGTTGGACGGGAGAAGATGATACTACCACTTTTCGAGCATTGTCCAGCGGTCGGTCTATTTGGGTCAAAAATCAAGATGGTCCGTTGGATGAGATTGACTTCAATCTGACGGTTATGGAGGCAATCACGTGTCAGGATTTTTTTTTGAGAAAAAATAGTTCTTTTATTTTTGGTTAATTACAATGACACCCCAGAAGTTTGACATATTAATAGTCATATATAATTTAGCCATATTTTGAACAATGACACCTCCTGTGAGAATTTTGTTCCAAACAAGCCCTTAAAATGTTAAAAAGATGAGATTGCCCTTCAATGTTTAATTCATTTTTGTGAAAAAATATTAGAACTTATGAAAAGTCAATTTTGCCCTTATATATATACATTATTACATCAACACCATCATATATATATATATATATATATAAAACCAAGTCCAACAAAAAATTGGGATAGCAGTACCGTTGCTAACCACAGCCGAGCTTCACCTCCCTCGCCGGATCTGTCTCACCGTCCACAGCCACCGACCGAGCTCGCCATCGCTCCCATCGCCGGTCGCAGATCATAGCCGACTTCTCCTTGCCCGCCGGTGGACATCATCAAAGCCGAGAGTCCCTGTCGGTGGACATCCAGATCTGTCTCACCGATCCACAGCCACTGGCCGAGCTCGCCGTCGCTCTCATCGCCGGTCGCAGATATCCACAACCGAGTTCTCCTTGCCCGCCGGTGGACATCATCAAAGCCGAGAGTCCCTCCTCGCTCACCGCCACAGTTAACCAACTCGTCTCTATCGGCTTCATCAAGCCGTCACCGCTTTGCCGCAGTTCATCCACAGCCGTGCTCTCCATCTTGCTCACAAGCTCGCCGCCGAGTCTCCACGGCCAGTGGATGCTTTGACGAAGGCCCTGCACTGCCTCCACTCTCTCTACCACTATCGCCCCTGTTCATTCTTTCAAGAAATATATATATATATATATTTTTTTGCCCACAAAATTGAAGAAACACATTGGATAGGCACAAAGAAATTAATTAATAGTATGCAATAATTCTCACTAAACCCATTTGCAATTTCTCTGTTTCGTTTTTTGGTGGAGGTGGCAGTGGTGGGTGGTGGTGGTTTTGGGGGCAAAATTTCTGGGTTTTCAGTGAGAGAGGATAGAGATATAAAATTGGAATTAATAAGGGTAATTCTGTCATTTGAAGATTTGGATATTTTAAATTAAAAATTAGTATTTTATTGAAGGGCAATTTAGTCTTTTCTCACCTTTTAAGGGTCTGTTTGGATCAAAAATTCTAACAGGGGGTGTCTTTGTTAACTTTATCAAACTTAGAGGGGTGTCATCGTTCAAAAATGGTCTAACTTGTATATAGCTGTAATTATAGCAAACCTCAGGGATGTCATTGTAATTAACCCTTTATTTTTCTAGTAAAAGTTAGCAGCATTTGGGTAGTATTAGTACAGGTCCTACTCCCATGGTGTTACAAGGATCATTTGTTTCGCATCGAATTCGAATGAAATAGTGATTGGGTATAAATGAGTGTGTATATAATACTATTCAATAATTTGAACTTTTGAATAAATGAGTAAGTGTCCACTCGTTATAGTTGATATTGGAGTCAGACCCAGTCTTCGGTCCGATGTTACGCCTACCGCACGGCCCAGAAGGGGTCCGGGTAACTCACCTGGATAAGCAGGGTGGCCCGATCGCAGCGAAGACATTGCGAGTTCGAGCGGAGAAGAATGTTATAAGGGTCATTTGTTCCACATCGGATCCAAATGGAAAAGTGATTATGTATAAATGAGTGAATATATAATATTATTCAATAACTTAAATTTTTGAGTAAATACGTAAACGCCCACCCATTACACACAAAAAGGCCAAATATTTCTTTACATGTATATTAACCCCAGCTTTTTTTTTTTTTTTTTGGGTTACATGTAAATTAAACTTGAGAGACTGACTTTTTGACATTCTTTTTTCCACAAAGAGAGACTGACAGTTTCAACTTTAATCATAGCTCAATACATGAATTTTCAACGAGCTCGGTAACATAATAAGCAATAAGCAATAAGAATCACTCGGTGAACAACTAATAATATCTAATCTACAATTAGCAATAATGAAGTTGTTAAGCTCTGTTGGATAGAGATGTTTCATCCACAATAAACAATAATAAGGCAGAAAGCACACCCACCTCTTCGAACAATCTAACCTAACATAGTGTAATTATCCTTGCTAAGTATTGCTAAAACCCCATCAACAAAATAATTTGCATTATAACTCCATCCACATTTTGATTGATTCCATGTCTCTAGTCTGTGTGTGAAGTGAAATGAAAGGTAAAGTAGGTCTTTAGGTTAAAAGTTAGTAAAATTTAAAATAATGAAAGAATAAAGAAAATATAAATAGTGTATTCTATATATAATATATAGAAATTTAAACATATTAGATAGGATTTTTTAGACGGACAACAAATTTTTTGTTTGTCAATTACTAACTGAATCATAAAATTAAAAAACCATTCTAATTCGCAAGAATCAAATTGAATTATTGGATCAGATCAGTTTCATAGATTGACGGATCAAATAAACACCCCTACTAAAATTCACGTCACACTTTAGTCAATTTTTTACTTTTTTTTTTTAAATCATTTTGTTAATGAATTGAACCATTACATTTGATTCGTTAGTACAATTTCATTTTATGTTTGACTAGCGGCTAGTATGATTTTATTTTAAAATATTTTAATATGATATATATATATATATATTTTTATATATTTTTATGTAAGGCTGTTTAAGTATGAGATGTTAAAATATATATATATATATAAAGTATTTGCTTTTTACTGATCAAGTTTAAAATTTGATTTTCCAGCGATCCAAGGTTATTTTATGATAATTTTCTTCAACCTTTGTTGTTGACTAATCTCCAATCTCCATGGTATTCTTCTAGATTTTCATCATTTATGATGAAGATTTTTTAATTTTTATTTATTATTATTTTAATTATTTTTTGTTATAAGTTTCATTTTTACTTCTATTTCATAAAAAAATTTCTTATACATTAGAGATTCATTCTCCATATAGAATTGCTAGCTAGTTCACGTTGTTCTAATAATTTTATCATTTTTATTATTCGTTTTCTTTAATATGACATTCAAGAGCTAAAAAAAATAAAGTAGGTGTCAAGAAAGAAATGAGCATTAAAATACACACATATACATAGAAAATCCTAACTAGATTGAACCATATTCAACCATCAAAGTAACTCCCCCACTATTTGTAGCGGGGTTGTGCCATGCAAGCACTAAAGAGGACTTGCATGAAAAAAGTATAGTTCTAGAATTTTTTGAGATTTGTTAGCATTATATGGTGAGATTTGTTAGCATTATATGGAGGAATGGAGTAATCTAAAACATTAGAGAGGGTTTGCAAAAATGGATATATGGTGTTTATTTCATTATTTTTGGTTCAATAAAAAGACGACATGTGTCGACTTTCAATGCCACATTGGATTTGGTACTTTGAATGTCCAAAAGAGGAAGTATAGTGTGGAATTATTGAAGATTGAGTTTGTGTTGCCTACCAATAAGGAGGAAGTATGTGGCGAGTTCCAATGGAACTTACCACGCTGAATCGCAACTATTATGAATTATTATTGGAAGCTATACAATATTACGTAGTAATTATACAAGTGAGCCAGTACAACCCTATTATGGAGTTTTCTATTTTTGTTAAAATGAAAGAGGTGAGTCCTATTAGGACTTGTCATCTTTAAAGCAATGGCCCACATCTTCGAAACGAATTTCACCACACATGATGAGCTCTACTAAGCTTACTATAGTGCTAATCGCGGTAGATCAATTCTTTTAAGGGTTGGTATTATGGAAGGTTCATGGATTGTGTTTCTAAAGATTGTGTATTCCTAAATAAAAGAAAGACTTACCAAATATGACAATGCTAAGGTTGACCAAGCAAGACATGGGCTGGATTTTCTCCTTATTTTTAGGAGAATTCAAACAACTATCTCAGCAAAGTGGGAAACATTACAGAATGGCAAGTATATTTTGGATATATATTTATATATATTGAAATATAAGCCCACGACGATGAAGAAGTTGCTAGAAAGAAGGAATACAGGGCGTCATAAATTCTAAGACCAGAAAGGTATTATATATATATATATATATATATATATATATATATATATTTGTATTATATGCGGCCCACGTTGTGAAAACCGATGAAGTTCAGGGGTCACGACGCCATGAAAGTTAAGGTCAATTAGGAAAGTCCAACTGAAAGGAAGTTGTATTTATGCATACATATATATATTTATATCCCAGATATACCCACGATTGAGAAGTTTCTGAAATTGTAAGGAGGGCCACGACGCCATGATTTAGAAAGGAATGTCCACACCAGGATAAGTTACCTAAAATTTAGGAGACGTGGAATACTTGGCCAAAAATGATATATCAGTTGAAAGTGGTGGTACCTTACATGGTAACTACCACTAACTGAGGGAAGTTGTCAGAGATCATGGATGACAAGGCTAAATCGTGTCTGAAAGAGAAGGAATTCTACAGCAGAGGAAGAAGAACAAAAAGACATGGGATATGTGTAAATTTGCGAATAAGATAAGTGGAAAGTTCACTTCAAAAACTACCCACGATTCAAGATCATGGAACACTTAAAAGGACATTTTTCAAGTCAGGTATCAAAAGAAATCAACAGCAAGAAGAAATGAAAAAGAAGATAGAAGAAGATGGTTACAACTGCCAAGAGATCATGGGGGCACTTGGTAGTCCGAAATTTGGCTAGATGGAAGCTGCCAAGGTTGCCACATACAACAGACCAAACTGCTGCATGGAAAAAGTCTATAAATAAGCACTTAGGCTTAGTTTGCAAATCCTGTTCAAATTACATTGCATTATAACACTTCAATTATTACATTTCATGTATCTTTACATTCATGTAATGCACCTTCAATATGTTTAATTCAAGTCCTGCACTTATTATTCTTACATTCTAGCACCTTACATTGAAGTCCTGCACTTTTAATACCGCTTTCCTTTCCACTAGCCATAAAGTAGTTCAGAAGTCATTTTTTAAGGCAAAAAGAACCTCAAAATGTTGTAATTCCAGTCCTTCGTATAATCGCCAGATCCCTGTAATTTTTTACTGGATAATTATTCGGATATCCACTTTGGAACGACCGCAGTTCCTGGCACGTTCGCAATTCACCCTCCTTTCCACATTTGAAAAGGACCACGATTTTTAGGAGCCGAACATATAGTTTAAAGAAAGATTCTAAAGGATCAATAAAAATTTATAGAGTTTTACATGACGTTTCAATCATTAATTAGAGTGCATCGTAACCCTCATTAAAAAGGAAGATGCCTATAACTAATAAGAGGATGTCATTCGTGCAAAAAAGCTCTGGCAAGAGCAATAGTGGGAAAGAGTCTAATATGAGGCAATTGTGTAATCTTTTCCAGTCAACAAGGGATTAGATGTATAGTGAACAAGCGATTACAATATATACATTCTAAGCAATAAACACATCAATTTCAAACCCGCAATATGCATGTTACCTTAATAATGGTAAGGACGCCTAGGGACAGGTAGGAATTTACACAATTTAGATATAATATCTAATGAGGATGTTAACGCAACCTAAACTCTTGTACTACTGATAATAATAAACTAAAAATTAATTAAGTTTTTAATTTTATTTTCTCAGTTGATGATACATCAAATTTTCACTCTTATTTTATCACTTGATAGTTATCTTGGAAAGAGAAGCTCGATCACCAAGAAGAAAGAAAAGAAAATAAAAGAAAAGAGATTAACAAAAGAATAGATATTATGATCATAGTTTAATTTGTGAATTTAGTGAGAAAGAAAAGAAAAACCATTAATTATCCAAAAAGAAATAAAAAGTAAAAAATGAAAAAAAATTATTAAAAATAAAATAAAAGAAAAGAAGAATAGTTTGTCTCATACTTTAACTCAAATTAAGAAACAATTTTTTTTACAAAAGCTATTGAACATTAGAAAAATAAAAAGAAAATGTCAAGCAAAAATATTTTTTTTGTTCTTTATATAGCAGAAAAGACTGTTTACTTTCATATATATATATATATATATATATAATAATAATAATAATAATAAAATTAAGCAAAGTTTATGAGTTATTTTTACCTTGCATGAATTCTTAGGGGTCCATATATGATACATATATATATATATATATAATAAAATTAAGCAAAGTTTATGAGTATTTTTACCTTGCATGAATACTTAGGGGTCCACACACACACACACATATATATATAAAATAAAATTAAGCAAAGTTTATGAGTTATTTTTACCTTGCATGAATACTTAGGGGTCCAAAGTGGGATCTTTAAACAAGCCTAGACATCTCCAAAATATTCAACCTAACTTCGATTTGAGTGCTTAGCTAAAAGTGTCAAGACAACTCTAGCGTTGCAAAACTCGTCCGAACATTACAAACGGGCACTTCACCTAAATGCACTCCACGTTCAATGTATCTAAGCCGCAATGGTGGGTCCATGATTTTCTGACTCTACTTGTCATTTAATTATTTATTTTCATAAAAAATAAAGTGTAGTTTCAAAATAGTGGGGTGGGAATATCTACCATATAACTTCGTGGAAGGACAGTATTGAAACGCCCATCAATTTGTTTCAAATTCAATCAATTTTTGTTCACAGATGGCGATTTCGGAGGACTCCAAACCAACTCCACCGAATTCATTTGGAGCCGTTGTCCTTGGAGGCACCTTTGACCGATTACACGGTGGCCACCGCCGTTTCCTCAAGGTTTTCCCCTGTTTTCTCTCTCTAAACAACCCACCCACCCCCCCCTAATTAATCAACGGAGTATTCTCTACAGGAAGCAGCGGAGCTGGCAAGGGATCGCATTGTGGTTGGAGTATGTGATGGCCCTATGTTGATTAACAAACAGGTTATATATAGATATATAATACCAATGCATATATGTACACTTTTATATTTCAATGTTGTGACGATGCGGATCTTATAACATCAAAAATTGGATGCAATATAGGAATATGTCTTTATGAATTACTCGTTTCCAGCTAAAATAGTTAGCCTGTATATGCCATATTTTTCAGATATGGCACACATTCCAAAATAGTTTTTTTTTTTTCGCCAGTTTTAGGTTCATCCACTGATGGGTTATAAGATATGTCAGGTGTTTAAGCTAATGTCAGAGTTCCTAAAGTCCTTCTTTTTACTAGCATTAAATTTATCATATATTTCATTTGGTATCAAAGTTCTTTAATTTGATGTGATACAAGTTTCAACAATATATTCGAACTTCTTTATTGAATTTTTGAGAAATAATCTTCTTCTATGCAAAAGGTACACGAAACTTAAAGATTTCAAGCCGGCATTACATTAGTCACATGAGATCATGTACCTTTTGCATAAAAGAATATAATTTCATGACCTCCAATATTGCTTTAGAGATTGAGACTTTAGAAATGGGCACTCCAAGATTTTTCCGAAGCAATCTCCAATGCTACTAAGACTATAAGGCTATGTTCGGCTGAATTGGAGAAAAGTTTAGTTCAAAGTTACACCAAAATTTTCTTCAATTCCACCAATTCCAATTCCAAGGCTCCAATTCCATGCAGCCAAACATATCCTATCTTCTTGGGAGTAATTGTTGACGTGGCTGTTTGATCATCAATTATCACCTGCTGTATTTTCACTTTAATCAAGAGTTTGAAGTTGATGTTCCATGTTTATATATGTGTGCACGCATGTGTGCTAATTATTGTCTTATAGTCTGTTCTATCTATGGAGTAGAAATTGATAGACTAATATATTTTTTGCACTCACTTTTGCAGTATTCTGATCTAATAGAACCCATTGAAAAAAGAATGCAAAATGTTGTTGATTATATAAAGGTAACAAAAGAAAGAAACTTCTCTATTCAGTTTCTTATTTTTCATTGGTGTGATAAGTGTATACCATTATTGAACTTTGCACATCAAATTAAACTGGTTTTCCGCACCGCATGTGCAGTGACAAGGGCTGCATAGACATCTTTTCATTGTAGCTGGATTGCGGGTTTTAAGTGGTTCATGTGTCCACTTGTATCATGTTGTTGGTGTTAACTCTCAGCCCTGTTTTACTCTACCACATCCCAAGGGCAAGATGCTTATTTTTTAAAAAAATACAAGGAAAAGGAATTTTAGGTATTTTACCATTGTAATTGGATTATGAGTTGAAACTTGCTCTATGAGTAGACTACTAAGTGGCTAAACACACGGACCAACAAACCAGTAAGTTAGATGCATTGTGCTATAAAGACTAAATAGGTCCAGGTATTTGGAGCCTTTTAATGAATTTTAAAAATAAAATAAAATAAAATTAGAAAGGTCTACATAGGCTCTTTGTTGCAGTTGTATGTATTAAACAATTTCCACTTCTTATATATGTGGTATGATAATATAATGTCCATTTTTCCTTCATCTTTTCCCAGTCTATAAAGCCAGAGCTGGTAGTGCAAGTCGAACCTATTACAAATCCTTACGGTCCTTCAATCATAGACGAGAATTTGGAGGCTATTGTAGTCAGGTCATTTCCTTGATCAAGAACCTCCTTTCCACACTGTTCTCTTTTCTTTCTTTCTTTCTTTCTGTGTGAGTGGGAGCTCATGTGTCAAGGGTTACCTGGAGGACTGTGGATTTGTTACTTCATTTTTTTTTAATATCTTTGTGATTATCATTGAAGATTAGCTACTTAATTTTTTTTCATTCAGCAGCAAGGAGACCTTACCCGGTGGACTGTCTGTCAACAAGAAGAGAGCTGAGAGAGGCCTCTCTCAGCTAAAGGTTTGAGTCCGGGCTTCGTATATATTTGCCTAACAACATAAAATTCTCATTATATAATTATAAACTTGTTAAAGAGTTGATTGCTTGTAATTTCTTGAGAACATTTCAAAACTGAAGCCTTACGGCTAAGGACCCTGTGCAGGTTGAAGTTGTAGATCTAGTCCCTGAAGAATCGACTGGAGATAAATTGAGCTCCACGACATTGAGGAAGCTTGAGGCTGAGAAGGCCAGGAAACTTCAGCTGGGATAACAGGTATACCTACGTGCTAGAAGCCAATGGAAAATCAAAGGGGCTGTCTTTGTCCTGAAGTTTGTTTATCCATACCATAATTTTCGTTGAGAATGTTGATTATAGATGTCAACAGGAAATTAGTATTTCCACATACTAGACTATTCAAGTTTTAATATTGCACGTTTACATTATAAAGAAGAAATAATGGAGCATCATTGTATTCAGTGGGTCAGTTCAGCTTTATATCTTCCTCCCTCTTTTGTTTTATGTAAAGAAGAAAAATAATACAACCCTTATATTCATTGAGTCAACTGAATATCTCCTCTTTGGAGCATCATTGTATTCAGGCATACTTATCCACACTCAAAAAATAAATAAAATAAAATCAGATACAGGCATGTATATTGAAAAATCTCTGAAGAAGTATTTACTCATAGACCATATTATTTATCCGTTGAAACCAAATGCTGAGTTATATTGGCAAAATCCCTACTTGTTGCACTCCACCAAAGCACACAGCTCCAATCACGGTTGCATCTGTGGGTGGTTTTATCTCTTCCTCTCTTGCATTCTCATATCATATATCCCTCTGTGCAACGGAATGCTCCATTAATTTCATGGTATTAGGTTCTCTGTATGAAAGTTGTTTTGTTTATCTATAATTTTTTTATTTTAAATTTAGCTTGTAAAGAACCTAGATTTTAAGGAGCCACTGAAGTATCATGGATGCAATATTTATTGTGATATTGTTTGATTTAAAGAATGAGAGTATATGACATAGAAAGTGCGAATAAGAGGAAGAGTGAACGGGAGTTTTCCGTGGTGAGTGCTTGAGACCTCACGCGATTAAGTTTGAATCGAGTCCTATTTTATATCTATTTCAAGTTGATACGTTTCTGATTCAGTTTCGTATAAGATGTATTAGGTTGCAGGAATTGAGGATATCTGAGTAATAAGCTTTAGTAATGGCTGGGATCTTATGTTGGATCAAATGATCATTCTGGATTTTTATGCTTGCCATTTATTAGGATTAAACTCTTCTTGATAGGTAGATCTAATATATTCTTAGTATTCAAAGTGTCAAAGTTTCGCATTTAGGAGTCTTGGATCCTAGTAAGAGGTATAAACCCTGAATGATGTTTCACTTTTCATCAACTAATTCTTTGCAATTTCAGCAATTAAAATCTCTTCAATTTCAGCAACCTGACTTTCTTAGTTTTACCAATTTCAACCCCTTACAATTTACAAACCCTATAACATTTATTCCACCATTTAAACCATAGACACAGAAGTTTTGCTTAAGCTATGCCAACCATTTAATCAATTGTACGCTGCAGATTAGTAATTAAGTAAATTGCATCTTCATCGGTTTGTATCAGAGATAAAGGATCTTAGGTCAAGATCCAATTAAAGGTGCCATGGATCTCGCTTCATCCAAAGTTAGTTCTATTTTTATAGGTAAGGATCCTGCTGAAGGTACGATTCAAGAATAAAACCTTTGAATCATTGTCTAATACTGTAGAAAATCCTACAGACCAATAAGAGGATGTTATGTCAAGGGAACAAAAGTCAATATTATTCTGGCACTTGAAGGAACCTTAAATGAGTAAGTTGAACACAACAATAAAGCTAAAAGAGTAGTAAATGATGAGCATGGGACTAAATTTCATGTTTGACACGCTGGATATCTTATCTATTGACTTTGAGGTAAAGGATTCTCTAATGTTGGGAAACTGATGTAACCGTGTAAAGAGCAAGTCCAAATTGAGAATCTTGAATGGAAGATGCTTTATGAGCTCCTATAATCAAGTTTAAATTCAATGTAATTTCATGTTAATAGGCTGCTGATGTTGATTTATATATGTTCTATTAAGTTAATAGGAATCAAGGATATTTTGATAATTTAAGGAGTTATGCGACTTGGATTATAGTAATGGTCGGATATTTTAGTAGTTTAAGAATCATATTTCCTGTTTAAGACTCTTAATCATAGTGGTAACTTAGTTCTTAGAGAGTTGATTTATGAGAGTTTTGTGTGATTGCTTGATTGAACATGACTTTTTGGGTTAGTTCCAAGGAATTCTAAGTGAGATTCTTCAGCCTTCAATGATGTTTTTTTCTGTTTTTTTTATTCCCAAAACCAAACCAAAGCTATAAAGTAGCCAACCCCCTCTTTTGGGGGTGGGTTAGGTATAATGTAGCCAACCCTTGTATTATCCTTTTATGGCTTTTAAGTTAACACCTAAAAACCCTGAAGTAGCTAATATCCAGAATTTGAATTAACTAATTTTTGGCAGTTCGAGCGAACTAACACTTTCTAACTCCAGTCAATCCCTGCCCTTTTGATTCAAAAACTTTATAAACTTTCCTTTTCACCCTATTAAAACATAAACCTACAAGTTTTACTTTACTCTCTTGACTTCTTATCTTGCTAAGAAAGATGCTCCTTAACTAATGGTATCTTTGATCTACCTTTTGACTTGCAGATCAAATTGGCTCGTCAGATCCTTGTTTACAATTCCAGAAGAGTTCATTAGATTGGGACAGACTTTAATGATGATTGTCATGGGTTCTCTCCATTAGATTTAGTGTTAGCTCTTGACATAAATATCGATAATGGAACTTGAAATTATATTTACCATAGATGAATATAACATTATCTTTTTCGTTTTTCATATTCTTGCCTTCATATTCGATCACATCATTAGCAAACAGGTGACACTTTTTACATCTGTTAAAGGTCTCAATGACTTGCCGGTTTGTTGTTGGAAACTCTATTCTTCATCTAAATGCGTTGTTACTGCAGATTTCACAGAATCCCGGTGCCAGTTTGATGACAATGTCTTAGCTGCAGCATTATATCACCAAGGACAATGGCCTGGTGGTATTAACACTCTCTTATCTAGTAAAACAATCATTATAAGTTTGAGGTTTAAGACTTGATGAACTTGATGTCTGTGATTGTCAGTTTTGGCTTCGGAAAATGTGAGTTTCAATTGTGTTCTTTGTCTTGGAAGAGGATTTACGGTTTAAGAGTTAAGATGATTATACATTCCAGTTGGATCTTTCAACTATTACTCCTCATCTTCCGTTGTACCTCACCAAGTACATCTAATTACTTTGTGCTACCCTTCAAATAACGACACAATCAAATCCATTTGGTGCAACCAAGTCGGACTCATGTGACTATGTGGGTCTCACTTCATGCTGAATACTTTGATATAAAAATCATTTTTGAAAGGGTAAAGTGCAAATAACCCCCCTGTACTATTGACAAATTGCAACTAACCCCCCTAAACTAAAAAAAATCCCCTAAACTATGAATTTGTTGCATTTCAGTCCATTCCGGTGACCGACTTAACCGGAAAAATAAAAAGTCTGAATTGCCCTTATGATTATTCACTACTGTATAAGGTATATAAATATATATGCGTTTATATATGTATATTTCTGGTTTTAAACTGAATTTATATATGTGTGTTTATATATATATATATAACATTGGAGATTGAAGAGGGAGAGAAGCATCAGGCTGGAGATTGAATCATGAAGAAAATGAAGGAAAAAGATGGTGGCGGCGGCGGCGATTATGGTGACGGAAGAGGAGGTAAGTCGGCGATTATGGTGACGATGCGGAGTTGACGCGTCAAAACCCAAATCATCCTCGTCGCCGCTGGGATCTCGCTGCCGTCATCTCCTGCGCCTGCCCCGCCACCGTCTCTTGCGGTGACAGCTGGAACGAGCTCGGATGGTGGAGAGGACCGGCGAGCAAGGTGGGCTGAACGGCAATGGGCTGGTTCGGCCATGGTTAACTCGCGGCGATGGGCTGGTTGCGGCTTAGCTGCACAGCGGCCGAGCTTCGCCTCATCCGCCAACCTCCCTGTTCCGATCGGGATGGTCACCCACTTCTCGTTTTCATTGACCCCAAATTACTCCGCAATCATTCTCCACAAGTGCTTCCACTTGAACAGATCGCCGTTGCTGAAATTGAAAGCTTCGTTGCTCGCATACGGATCCATCGCCGCCCATACTAGTGCTCCGCTATCAGACCGGAATCCGACGCCACCGAGTAGCAGTTCCATGCCGCCTTCGTTCCCGAGGGAGAACCAGAGATTGTGATTGAAGGGGGTGATGGCAGTGGGTTAGTGGGGGTTTGGTTTCACGGTGTGTGATGGGTTTGATGGAGAGAAGGTTGGGCTGTGGTTGGTGATGACGGGTGATGGTGGTGGCGGGATTGGGGTGGTGGCTGTGGGTTTGTGTACTGGTTCGATTGGGTTTGGTGGTGTGCCGTTGAGATGCCGATGGAGGTGGTAGTGATGGTGGTGGGTTTGATTTTGTTTAACGGTGTGTTTTGGCATGAGTTCAGGAGGGTTTCGTGGTGGTTATGTTGGTGGTTGCGGACGGTGGTGGTGGTTATGTTGGTGGTTGCAGAAGGTGGTGGTGGTCGTAGACGACGGTGGTGGTGATTATAGGATAATTTGGTATTTTCATATATAGAAGGGCATTATTGTCCAGAAAACTTAGTTTGTCTGTCGCGTGTGAATCACGCGCTCATTTTTGGACGGCCGGTCACCGGATGGAGTGATCTGCAACTTTTTTGTATAGTTTGAGGGGTTTTTTGCATTTTTGGTAGTTCAGGGGGTTAGTTGTAAATTTCCCCATAGTTTAGGGGGGTTATTTGCACTTTACCCTTTTTGAAATTATTGTTAAGTTATACTTGTAAGTAATTAAGCTCAAACCAAATTCAGATCTTATATGTTTCGAACTTGTTTGGTTTAGGTATTTCTATCTACCAATGGTTTTAATTTTTTTGAAACCATTAAAATCAGAATATTTCTGCTTCATCTTCTAAATTGGATTAAACTGATTCATGTGTACTCCTATAGAATTACACACAAAAAAATAAAAATAAAATAAAGATAACCCAATTTCATTTAAATTCAAATATAAGTTATTGATATGTCTAATCAACCACCATCGACCATTTAAAAATAATCCCAGCAAATAATTGTATGCACATTAGTTAAAAAAAAAAAATTAAGTACGGTAAAATTTATACGTCTTTTAATACATTTGTTGATATATTACATGGTGGTGAGGGGTTATAGATCTAAGTATCACGTAATTATTTCTTTCTCATAAGTTAGGCCATCTATAATTTTCCTCCTCGCTGAACTCTTTGCACTTTTTTAGCCACGTGGACCAATGATTTGAATTTTAGATTTATGAGTAAGCATATCCAAGACTCTCTCTCCATTAAGAATAGTATAGCAGGTGTAAAATTTTGGGATGAGAAATAAATAGCGTCCCTCTCAATGTCATCCATGTTTTTAAGGGCGTGAATTTTGGGTGATTGATTGAAGCTCTGTATGCTTCGTGACCTTTTCCGTTGAGGCGGTGGCGGAGACACCGTTCATATGGTGGCGATGTTGGTGGTTACGGCGGCGTGATTCGAGATGTAAAGGCGATCTAGGGTTTCACGGTGAACGATTTTGGGGAATATGGTCGCCATTTTCGAGTTTTCCCGTGTTTCCCCGATCTGATCCTTTTCTTTTCCGATCTGACATTTGAGAGAGCTCACGCTGAATTGTGGACTACTTTCTGTTCGATCGAGGCGTTTTATTACGCAAATTGTAGAGGTTGGTTGTTTTTTCTTTGTTTTTCTATCGACACTGTTTTCCCCTTTTATTCAGATTTTCATTTTCCGCTTAGTTATTACCCTCATTTTGTTTTTCTGTGATTTATTTTAGATTGGATGGTATTCTTATTTTGAAAGAAGTGAAACATTTTGAAATCGGTAGACTGACATATACATTTGTTTAGAGTCTCATTATGGCTAAATGTTTAATTTAATTTAATTTTTCTTACTTATCTTTTTTTATGGCTATAGTTTTGCTGAGTTTGCTGGGTTTTTGAGATCGGGATCTAATTTTGTTATCATCGTGCTTTTGTGATTTTTTGAACAATAGTTTGGAAAAGTTTGCAATGTCTTGAAAAAACTTCTCATTTTTCAGTGGGTGGTTCAGAAAATTGCATCAATGATACCATTTTTTAAATGTTAGGAAAATATATCGATAATGTTGCTTAGTCTTGCCTTTTTTAACTGTTTTAATGTGATTTATATATACTTACATTTATATTTAAATTGGTCTCATTTGCGTATAATTTGCTGTTCAATAATTGTAGGGTGGGATTGATTTGAATGCTCATTCGAGATGTCCTTCAAAAGCATTGTACGAGAGCTGAGGGAGATGAAAGATGGGATTGGGAACATATCAAGACGAGGGGTGGAAGGCAAGCGTTGGCGCTGCCGAACACGATCACATATAGCCCCTGATGTGGCCCCATCCGAGCCGATTCAACAAGGCCAGTGGGCAAACTTACCACCGGAACTACTTCTGGATATAATCCAGCGGGTTGAAGAAAGTGAAGCTTCATGGCCTGCTAGGAACAACGTTGTTTCCTGTGCATCAGTTTGCAAGTCATGGAGGGAGATTACTAAGGAGATTGTGAAGACCCCAGAGGAATGTGGCAGACTCACCTTCCCTATTTCATTGAAACAGGTATATTTTAATCATCTGTTTATTTATTTTTTTATCGTATCTAATGATTTTCAGTGTTTAGCTTCAATCTTATGTAAGTGTTGTTTTGCCTCTTTTAACTTCCAAGCAGCCGGGACCTCGTGATGCTCCGATTCAGTGCTTTATTAAAAGGGAAAGAGCAACTTCCATATATCGTCTGTACTTTGGTCTGGCCCCTTGTAAGTCACATTATCTGCTCATGATCTTTTCCCCCTCAATACGTCAGGTTTCCCTTGAATTGTACAAATGAAGATCCTTTTTCAACTTTTGTGTCATGGCATTGTTGCTTAAGAAATAAACTTTATAAACCTAAACTTAAATGATACATTTAAAATTTCACTTTAGTGAATATATGTATAAAGTGTTTTTGATAAATAATATTTCCTGTTGTATCATAGGATTGATATTATATATTATTATGCACACAATGAGAGTGCTAGTGTGGCATTGCTCCAATACTTCCCCGCGTGACCTAGTTTTGGAGTTATTTGGAGTTATGTTGGCTCTTTATAGCAGTGTTAAAACATAATGATATTTAAGAGGCTGTTGGATTTGTTGATGAAATGGAAACCTATTAGCTACTGGGAGGTATGTTAACTAATAATCATTTTACTGAATTGACAGCCGAGGATGACAGCGATAAATTGTTGTTAGCAGCTAAAAAGATCAGAAGGGCAACGGGCACTGAATTTGTGATATCTTTGGTTGTGGATGATTTTTCTCGAGCCAGTAATGCATATGTTGCAAGACTGAGGCAAGTCTCGGCCACTACATGTGCTAACTATCTTTCTATGATTAATCATTTTCCTATGAACCTAACAAACATTAAAAAACTTCTGCCAGGTCTAATTTTCTGGGCACCAAGTTTACAGTTTCTGACAGCCAACCCTCAAATGATACTGCAGCTCAACTGAATAGTCGGTCAAGTCGGAGATTTCATGCTAAGCAAGTATCTCCAAAATTACCTGCATGTAACTACAGTGTAGCTACTATTTCGTATGAGCTCAATGTCCTCCGCACTAGAGGCCCTAGGAGAATGCGATCTGTCATGCATTCTATTCCTGTCTCATCAATTCAGGAGGGCGGTACTGCCCCCACACCAACATCGTTCGCACTTTCTTTTGATGAGAAATATTCTCCATCACCAGCATCAAAAGGAAAGAACTCGGTCACTGATGTCAGCTCCCCATGCCTCACAGCATCTCCAGTATCTGTCCCAGTCTCTAGAGAGCCATTGACGCTAAAAAACAAAGCTCCTAGATGGCATGAGCAACTACAGTGCTGGTGCCTGAATTTCAGAGGTCGTGTTACAGTTGCTTCTGTTAAGAATTTCCAGCTTGTAGCATCTGTTGATCCTTCTCACAATGTATCAGCCACAGAGCAAGAAAAAGTAATTTTGCAATTTGGAAAGATTGGAAAAGACATTTTCACTATGGATTATTGCTATCCATTGTCTGCCTTCCAAGCCTTTGCCATCTGCCTGAGCAGCTTTGACACTAAACCAGCCTGTGAATGACATCCATGTGGACATCCATGTGGGTTGCATTCTTTTGCTAAGTTGCTTCCATAAAGTTGAAGTATGTTTATTCTCGGCATGGAAAGCTCATCTTGAACGGCCGTATATTTATTATAACTGACAACCTTACTGGTAGCTTGTAGTTTATCTGATATCATTTTGGATAAAAAAAATTTCGCATTTTTTATGTGTCTTATATGCTTGGTCGCGTGTGGAAAATGTTTTTCCACACTTCTTAAGGTTTGCTCTCACTCTGGCATTATTGATATTCAATGTAACAATGAGAGCAGTGATTTATATCCATTTAGTCACAAGGTGATGACTCTTCCTGGGATTGTTTATGACTTGATGCATACTAAATGTACTCTTTATCTTGTAAATTGCTCAAGGCACTGTTTCAATCCACAGTATTTTATCTGTATCCTATCGTGGCCATTTCGATTCTCTCTTATTTTAATCTGCATGATTGCTGTTGATCCAATTTTTTTTTTTTTTTCCTTTGCTGTTCTTAATTGATAAGCGTGGCCGCTCCTTTATTTTTATTTAGGGTTATTTCTTGCCTTCCAATCTTTGATCTTTCCTCGTTCCATCTGTCAGGTATCATCGGACTCTAGGGCTAGCAAACTGGGTTTGTAGTCTGGGATATCAAGTTCACTCATAGTGATGCACGTATTGTTGTTGGTTTGTGTTCATTAGTGGGGATATTTTGCTTCTGCTTTTGCATCTTCTGGTTTAATTTTACATTCCAGACAGCTTAATTTTTTTTTTAATCTTTTGTGCCCTTTCTGTGCCTGCAAGGTTTGCTTTTCTTTATTTTTATTTTTTCCATTGTGGTCAAGGTCTTGAGAGATGGAAGTACGTTTTTTTTGTTGCAGTCAAGAGCGAACAAATTGATTCAAACTTGCATAAAAATAATTATCTTTTCTTCAAGCTATGTCCCCTGGTTATGGTGCCATGTTGAGGCTAATTCTGTCTCAGAAGATTCAAGGCTAATTCTGGTTACCCGCGAATCGCCAAGAATGAGGAAACATGATATCATAACATTGATTGGGTTTCATCGATGGGCTTGAATTCCTTATTTACCATTCAGAGTTTATAAAATTATTTAAAATAAAAAATAATATAAGAGAAAGAAAAAGAAAGAAGAAAACGAATCACTGAGGCATTGAAATCGAAAACGCTAGAGGAAGGGATTGAACCTTAGACCTGTGGTTATGGGCCACACGATCTAACCAGCTGAGCTACTCCAGAACTTGCCACACGTTTTGAATACGGTTATTTTAATTCTGTACCATACTTTTTATATTGATCCGTGACTATTTTAGTCTTGATTTTGTTAATCAGTCGCAAATTAATCCTCTGACAATTGTATCCCCACCATAATAGATCCAAGGAATGCAAAATTTTCCGTGCACCACATGGATTTCCTCTTTGGCATAAAAATAAAAATAATATTTTTTGGGGTGTTAAAAAAATTAATAAATTACAAAAATAAAAAATACAATAAATATAGATTGTTCAAATTACAAGACAATATGCCAAATCAATTAATATAAGAAATATAGTACTTGACCAATATAAGATTAGTTATTAATTAACATGTTCATTGATTATGGTGGTAGGTGATTATATTTTGAGAGTGATGCATGAAAATTATATCCAATGACTTCATAAATTATAGAAATAAATTTAAATAAAAATAAGAGAAAGAAAAAAAAACCGTAGTATAAACATCATTTGTAAGTGTGAGAAAAATTTTAAGTAGGAATAAAAAAAGAGAACTTTGACAAGAAAAAAATTAGATAGGAAATCAAAAGATTTTTAAGAGCAAAAGTGAAAAGAAAGAAAATTTTAGAAATTAAAAATTTTAGAGGGAGGGGGCGGGGGGCATTATATATATATATATATATATATATATATATATATAAATGTAAGTTAAAATAAAAAATAATCAAAATTTTTATTGAGCATGCAGGTTAGGGGGCATGTGCCCCAGTCTCGGGAGTATGCAGGTCAAGGGGCATGTGCCCCGGCCCAGAGTACGCACTGGTGCACCCCTATAAATAATATACACCATCAAGGGTCATTAATCTAATGGTATAAATAAAGAAAGGGAGTTAGAGGATAATATTATTCATACTATTAGTGGATGATATGATCCTTTCTTTTCAAAATAAAATAATTGAGAGTTTGACTTTTAAATTCCCACATTTGCTTAATTTTATTTTATTTTATTTATTTATTTTTTAAGGCAAGATGAGTCAAAAGTTAGATCAGTAGGTATAAAGGATCGAAGTCTGATACTTCTAAAATTTATCGGAGACACTTATCACTCGGCTATCGAGTCATCTGCACACATTTGCTTAAATTTAAAGAAGAGGAAAAAAAGAAAAAGAAAAGAATTATAGCAATTATAGTGGATACCAGCTCATATAATATGACATGTAATAATTAACCCAACTTTCAAATAGTACGGCAGCGTAGAAACTTTAATCATATTGTGCTGGTATCCACTTAATCATAGGAATTAGTAAATTTTTAATCTTTTTTTTTTTTTTTTTTTTTTTTCATAGTTTAGTAAATCTTTAATCATATGAAAAAATAAAAAATAAAAAACTTTAATCAGGAATTAGTAAATCTGCAACCCATATCCTGAATCATTTTAAAGCCTAAACTTTTATCAGTGGCACAGTTTTTTCAGCCTAAAGGGGAATTCTTTCTTTGTGAGGGGCATTTTTAGAAGCCATAAGTTATCATCAGCTTCCTGATCAAAATGGAGAACCAATGCACTAAAAGAAACAACATAAAATGGCCTAGGCAAACCTTGACCTAGACCTTTAATGAACACCAAAAAATATAAAAAAAATTATATATATATATATATATATATATATATATATATATATATGGGGAAACAAACGGAGCCTAAGTTGATTTAAGAACAAACTTTTTATGATTTCCTCTATAACAGTCATTAAAAAGAATTTGCATAAATTTGTATAATAACAAGTTAAGTTGGTGAAACCAGCAGTCCATTATGAGAGATTATGGGGTTCACAGGCCACAATGATGAAAAATGAACCGTAGTGCTGATGAGCTAAAACAAAAGCAGAATTTTGTATTTAAATGCACACCAATACACAATTGTACAAGAGTATGCTTAAATGTTGGAGCACTTCTACACATCAGAAGAAGAAACATCAACTTAAAACACCATATTAACAAAAAGACCACATAACAAACATACATTCTAACTAAGTGCAAACTTGCAGAAAGTATACAATTTGACCAAGTGCAAATTTGCAGAATGATCGGAGAAATATCCCGAGTGTTATCTAAGATAATCGAGAGAACATGCTGGGAGTTGAGAAAACCTAATTGTTTACCCACTAGCTATATCAGCTTTGCTGTAATAATAATGTTCTCCTCCAAGTAAATCTAGAAGCCTTGTGCGCAGAACTTTGGAGAAGCAAAGAATCTTACCTGGATGCATTCTATGACACTAATCATCAAGAGAGGCTGGGAACCACAGGTTCTAAATGGGATAAAGATCTGAGTTCTACTTTTTCTTTTTTGGTGCCAAAGAACTGTTTTTTGAGAATATTGACATTTTCATCCCAAAAAGTTTAGATGCTCTGGAAGATGATTTCTGCTCTCTATAGTGGTTGCCAGTGTCTCTAGAGAAAACTTGATCAGATACAGAGCACTCTTGTAAGTCACTATATTCAGTATCTGTCAAGAGTCGAAGCAATTCCATTGCACTTGCCTTTCCTTTGTCATTCCCGTTTACGGACACGGTAAAAAGGGCAGGGATAACACCCTCATCCATGACCAACTGACAATATTGAGCTCGTTGAAAGCACAGAGAAAGGAGAACAGTCACTGCTTGCTCCTGGGCCTCGCGACTGTCAGTCTCAAGTAGTTTAACAATGCTAGCAATGCATCCTTCAGTTTCAGCAACAGAAGCCCTCGCATCTTCTTTATTGCACAAGTTGTTCAAAATGGATATGCTGTATCTTGCAAGAGCAGTGTCCTCAAAAAGAGGAACCAGTTTGGGGATGAACTTAGAAGAAACAATAAGGGAACAAATATCACTGTTGAAGGACAAATTATATAGTATTTTGATAGCTAGTTCCTGGAATTTCCTTATCTGTCTGTCAAGTATACTTGGGATGGAAGCAAGTGCACCAGATGCCGCAATTTTAGATCTACAATAGTGGTGGGAAGACAACACCTCCATAATGGCAAGAGTTTCTTCAATTACTTCCATATCAAGAAATGATGCCAATAGACTGAATGCATCTTCAGGTAAGTATGGTATACTGCTTCTGCATGAAAGTAATCAATGGTAGATTAATATAGACTCGAAAAAGCCATATTTTTCCCACATAATGGTAATATGAAAAAGATACATTAAATTTACCAAAGTTTCATGACCATGAATTGAGTTAATCAAAAAGTAGTACCACAATTAGCATGGATAATAAAAACTTTTTCATGGTTTAAAGCTATGTTATATGGACTCGGTATGTTGTTCGTATAGGCATTTCATTCTTTTGAAATAATAATATAATAAATCTGAATTACTGGATATGTTTTTTAGGTGCATGTCAAACCAAAAGTGTCGGGCACATACCCATGTCCGAGTATTGTGTGTCCAGCATGGGTACTTTTCACTTATTTTTGAATAGTCCATGTAGCATAGGTTTAAACTTTAAAGTAAGGCTATATATGACGTAGGCTATGGCCTTAAATAGAGTGGCATGGAAACATGGGATTCATGTAGCCGACCCCATGTAATTGGGAAAAGGCTTGGTGGTGGTTGTTGTTGTTGTATGATCTAAGCAGCACATTCTTATAATTGGTATTTGCACTAGTAAGTCAATGCAAGCAATTTCAAACCCAATAAATTTCAAGTCAGAATTTGAATATTTAACATCATTCTTGATGATAATAAAATCCGCAATTACAATGAACTAAGCACCCCTAAAATGGGGGGCATATTTCGTCACAACTAAGGATAATGTTAGAATTCAAATCTACCAACAAAGAAGAAGAAATTACCTGCACTTGCTTACAAATGCTAACAGCAACTGAGATCCAATTCGAAGAGCTTTTATATCACGCTTGTCTTGTGCGTCCTTCAGAAACCTAATAAGTGGTTCAACAGAATTCTCACACGATAATGAACAGCAAGCTTGATCAACGTTGTTAAGAAGGCTTTTGACATTTTCAACAGCCTCACATTGAGATTCCCAGGAAAGTGCATCAAGTTCAGATAAAATCCTCATATCTATTCCATGTGCATTTTCATATGACTGAAATCTGTGACAATTAACATTCCTTTGCTCTGACATCAAGTTTAAGCCATTTGTCATGTTGAAACTTGATGAATCAGAATTGTAACTAATATCTAAAGATTCAAGTGATACATTGCTGAAATCAATTGGAAGCCGTAGATCATTCATAATACTTCTCAAGCTAGCAATCGAAGAGGAAGAAGCTTCCCATGGTTGAATCTCTGCCGATTGTTCAAATGGGTCAGTAATGGTTACTCCATTCGCCATACACCACTTTGAAATAAGGTTCAAAATGGCAGTATTCGGGGTCAATGACAAATGGGCAAGCTTCCTTTTGGTCTTTGGACATGTATCATGACCTTCATTAAACCACTTCTGTATCCACATCCTTTCAAATGTTTGCTCAGAAGCAATGATAACAGGATCATACATCAATCTCAAAGACAGGGGACACAGAAATTCTTCAGGAGGTATCGGTCTACTCAACATGTCAGGATGAGCTTCATCATGCCCATATTTAACACGAGATTCCACTTCAACGGATTGCTCGCAAGAGGCTGCTAATGAAAAAGATTCTCCATGCTGTACAAAGGCATTTTCTGTTTGCTCCCTCCCAGTTAATTGTCCATAATTCTTCAGCAGATGCAAAAGGCCTACCAAGATCTGTTTTTTTCCAGGATCACCATCACCAACCTTACCGAGCAGCTTCTTAATAGATCTTCTCTCCATCACAAGAGCCCTCTGGGAAGTTATCTGAAGCCTTGAAGCTGCAAATTGAATAGTCTCAATTGCAGATTTTTCAATTGAATCTGTTGCAGTTGCATACTGCTGGAGGAATGCTCGCACGACCTTCCCAGCCTCTTCTTCAGATGAATCCAAGCTAAACTTCGCACTCCTAAGTTCAACAATGATTCTAGAAATCTGCAAAAGATAGCTATCATTATACTACATTGTTTTGGGTCCTACAAATACCTCCCAAAGGGGAAAAGTAATGCAAGAAGCAACACAGAACAGGAGAGCTTCAGGTTTGTGTGCCGGATTCAAAAATAATAATGTATGCAGGTTTCTTCTGAACATTTGATGTAATCTTTTATCTTTTATTTGTTTGGGGATTTTTTTTTTTTGTAATTTTCTTCTTTAGGGATTTAGTTTTCTGGCTTCAATTCTTAGTAGTTTTCAGGCATCTAATAGTTAAACTTCAGTCCTAATAAGACAGTATATTTGTTAGGATGAATTTTAGCAAATAACTATTTGTAGTCTGATCTCCGTGGGCATATAACACAGGTTATGAAAGTAAGAACAAAATATCAATTAAATTATTTAACTTCAATAAAATTGAAACACTTCCCTTCCCTTACGGATTCAAGGTTCCTTGAAAATTCAAGGGTCTCTATAAAGTTTTAGGTTGAATGCTTTAGATTCTTTATTTATTTCTTTCATTTTGACTACTACACTTTTTATCAGAGACTTGACTGAATGTTCTGATGGCAAACCATGGAAATGGTAAACTTCTCAGTAATGTTGGTCGTGATAAACAACATTTAGAACTCATGGTCAACCGATTTAAGGAAATGTCCTATTTGAAGGACTTGAATAACTATAAAAACCTTATAGAATTTGATGGTTTGTGTGTGTATGTGTGTGTGTGATTTCTAAATGGGGAAAAAAGATAAGGTTTAAGTCGCAAAGGAAACACACCTTGACAGACCCTGACATCAGCTGTCAGACAACCACCCCTAATATCATAGGTAAATCACAATGCAACCCCACGCAGCTGGCAAGTTGCATTGATACATACGAAGAGGATTTTTTATTGGGAAAAATGAGGTAATGGAGATCCTCTTTTGGAGAGAATCAAACGCACAACAAAAGATTACGTAGTCAAATCATGCAATATGGAGACAAGAAACCATGCAGCCAAAGATTGCATAATGTACACTATGTGAGGAGGAGATAAGGCAATGTGTGGTTGGAGATTGCATGGCTGGAGATCGTGTGGTTTAGGAGATTAGCTTTTTTCCATGATGAGCAATTCATGGAGAAACCTAGCTATGGTGTATTGTCCAGGTCCATAACCGAGGACCATGTGTTGTCAACTGCTGGACTGACAATAGTGTTTAGCAGTGGTTGAGAAACAATTGGAGATAGCCATTACCTCACCACTGGAGGTTTCTGGTGAGGGTGTGACAGTGCAGCCAAAGAATGCACAGTGACTGAAAAACATCATCCGCAGGGCGACGTGTCAAGGTGGAGAGTCTGGAGACTGCCATTCATGTCATCAGGTGGGTGCATCGTTCTGAGGTGGAGGTTGATGGTGAGGGAGAATTAACTAGTAATAGCTGTCATAGTGTGGCCAAAGATTGCATGGTGACTGATAATCATCATCTGCAGGACAGTTTGATGAGGTGGGGACTGTCATGCATGTAGTCAAGGTGGTGCATTGTTCCGAGATGGTGAATGCCATGTGACGGATTGTGAGGAAATGGATACAACTATCTGGGAGATAAGTGGGAGGTGACGCATCAAATCCCCCCAGAGTGATGGCATGGCATGGTGAATGGCTGCTATGTGGTGCCCACATGGCAACAGTAGGACCTGATACCTAGAGAATGGAAGGATAAAAATAAAAATAGCAAAACTTTCAATTAATCGCATGAGCACGCAAAAAGAATATCACTTGCAAGCAATTGCTCAAAGCAAGAAAGAGCTATAGGTAGAGGCTCAGGCAATGTGGTTACAATACAAAGAAAACTTGCCATACTAAATTTGCATTTGCTATTTTGAACATTGTTTGGTTAAGCATTACCGAAGAATTGCTCGACAAATGCAGGACTAAAATTATTATTTCTTCTGGGTAGCATTTCATGTGCCCCACCCTGGCTCAAAAAAATATGATAAGTAAATAGAAACAGAAAATTCCAAAAGGACATGTAGCTTGACTAACCTCCGCAGCCAACTCTACTCGAACCATGTTTTGAATTTGGCTTAAACCTTGCTCCAACAAGCTCCTTGTTCTTTTACATCTCGACAGTATTGCATCCCCTGTTATTGCCTGATATGATGGGAAGCGTACCATTATGAAAATGACAATTAGCTACACAACAAAATTAGGCATATGATAAAAAAAAGATGAAAAAATATTAACGGCACCATTTTCTACAAAGCAAACAAATATTCCACAAAGGAGCAAGCTCTATATAAGGGCACAACAAAGTACAAACTATAGTCAGTAGCAAACCCTATATAAGCTCATATAAATTGACTTCCTAGCAGAATGTTCTTCAATAACAGTTGCAACTGTTTATTTTCCTTCTACCCCCTAATGAGTTTGACAGCATACACCTATTTTTTGTTTAGCCGGCCGTCAGAAAGGTAGGAGTTATGGCATAAAACGTACGTATACTTGAATGAAATATTGAAGTACAAGAGGTCTTAAGGCCTATATCATGAAAATCCTAAGTGAAGACTTGGCTGGCTTCACCACTGCTTTCGAAAACCCAATATGACCACTATTACTTGTGGAACCATGTAAGCCTCCAGTAATTCTACAGTTCTCCCTTTCTTTTCACAAAACGAACAAAACATTGCATCTACGCCTTAATTCTACAGACCAGGGTTTGAAAATTATCTCTAGGATACACTCACTAGGATTTATGCTCTTCAGCAACTCACTAATTTTAAAAGTTTGCCCCAAAAACGCAATGCAAGAGTTTCCCGATTCCAACTCTCTCATTGTAAATCAGTACATTTAGGACCTGACTTAATTTATGGACCTACTTTTTCAGATTTATTCGAACTGATGATTTCCACATGGGTGATAATCAGTTGAAACAGTTTAACATATCTAACTCCATTTGTTGAAGTGTTGTAATTTACATACCAAGTAGAGCTTACTAGACTCGCTGCAATGCTGAAGCAGTAATTTGGCTTTCTCAATTGCGTTGTTCAAGCAGCAAAGTGCTTGTATTCCTGTTGAACATCGGGGCCGTGCTGCTTCAATTTCTGGAAATATATTTGAGACTCTATCAACCAATGTCATTAGCTCTATGCACATTAGATGATGCACCTGCATTCACAAACTACACTAATGAGATTTCAATCTAGAAAAACAGTACAACAAAAATAAATAGCCTTTGGATTGTTAAGAAGAGGGATGCAGAAAACAATATGTTTCATCACTCCTCCTAATGTGGACCTCTTGAATGAGTCATCCACATGCTCAAGTGGTAAGTCACTTGGGCCCCTGGTGCCTCTAGAAGCATCAGGTCTAAGGTTCGACTCCTTTTGGGTCCAAACAATTCCTTGAGTGGTGGTGTGTGAGCATCAACTAGGAAAAAATTATATATATTTTGTTGAGAAGGCAACAAGATTTGAGCTTAAAATTATACCCTGCCCTGATACCAAATCAAGAACCAACTGCTCTAAAAGTTTAAACTGATAGAAAAGTGCTGCAACAATATATTCCACAATGGCAATATAAATGTATTTTAATAAATAAAACAGCACTCAATCAATCAAAAGATCAAGTTACAAGCCAATGTAAAGACTTCTTTAGCTAGACGATCTATTAAACTTCCGCAGAAAAAGTATATTTTTAAGCATTCTCCAATGGAATTACATGGCTACACCTTTTAGTATTTGATTTAAGGACACTATAATTCTTTCAGGAACAGCAGTCTACATTTCATCTTCTTAATCACAAAAATACTAGAATTTTTGCAATGGTTTTACTTCTGTTTGTAGTTTACACCAACTACTATGATCTTAACATCACGATATGTGACACACAGTATATATGTCTTTAGAAAAATAGAAATTTTAGGTGTATTTATGGATTTTCTTATGAGCATATGTATAAATGATTTATTACCCCTATAAATCTAAACTGCATTTAGCAGCTATCATTTTATTATCAAATGTCGCCCAAATCACTTGTTACATTAGTAAAGCAAATGAAAGTACGTTAATGTTGAGTACATGAAAGTGACATTCAAATTGAAACAGAAAAAAGAAATCACCACAACAAATTTGTACCTTTATATCACGTGGACATGGTGTTTCTTCAACTTCAACAAGATCAGTCCCCATCCAAAAAAAGTATTATCCTAACTCTGCATTTTAATTAACAATGAAATTGTTAAATTATCCTTAAAACTCAATATACTCGTATAAAGGTAGAGTACACAAACAGGCTAGTTGTATTTAGTTATCGAAGTGGTCTCATAAATATGTGATGTTGAATCACTTGAAAGGGGTGGACTGAGTTTGGTCCACCTCATCTAAAGTTATTGAATGCTGTCAGGATAATTATTGAGTTTGGTCCACCTTAGTTAATTCCGTCGAATGTATCGTGATTTCTCAATATGTGAACTTCAGTTATCAACAATCCTTTATAAATCATATTATAAATACAGGGTAAGTATCTATTGTTACTTACTAGTCACTACTTATTATCTCCTAATTAGACTTAGCAGCGATAACGCTAGAGAATAGAGTAGAACTTTCTTGCACATCAAGGTATTAAAGCTACTCTATCACAACTATTGATACAGGATTCATGAATGTTTATACTATGCGCAAATGATTAAAATTTGGACAAGAAACACCTAAAATTATTTACAAAGAATTAAAACAAAAGTCCTATCAACCAAGTGACCATTTTAATTTCGATTGACAAAAATTGCATACAAATCCAAGTGAATTATTGGTTCAGCTGCATAATCTAAAACTCCTATCGCTGAGGTTTTTTTATATCAGAAGAAGTATTAATAACATTCTAAATATCAACATGTGCAAGAAATTAATCAGTATCAATATATGGTGGAAATACTAAATATTGGCTCACCTGCGTAATCAGAAACTTCTTTTTCGATATATGAAATAATATTAATAACAATCAAATTAACCAGTAGCAATATATGGTGAAAACCCTAAATATTGGCTTAGCTGCACAATCAGAAACTCATTTTTCAATTAAAAAAAAAAAAAAAAAAACAATATTAATAACATTTCAATAACAAAAATCATTAGTCAGAAACTCCTATTTCGATATAAAAAATAATATTAATAGTATTTAATGAAAAAAATATCAACAGCTCAGAATTTGGGTAGGAATTAAGCATTGTAAAGCCTTACCCAGTGATGTGAAAAGCTGAACAGCAATGAGAAGCTCAATCCCTTACTCTGTAAATCAAACTGATCACAACCCACTTCTCAAACCACAAAAATTCTGTAAAGATTATCAAACTCCGAGCAAAAAATTCGACTTTTTCGCTATATCTTTTGCTCTCTTCTTTTTTCTTCCAAAAAAACAGCAAATAATGGTTCAATAGAAGTTTCTGGAGAAGATGCTTGCACACAATCAGAGAAACCCACAAAAAAAAAGAGCAGACGAATACAGAACCGGTAGATATTAAAATAGATATTTTGAATTTAAAAGAACTAGAAATTATTCAGTTTTCAAAAACCCTCGAGAACACAAATAAATCCAGAAAAGCAATCGCTTTAAGTAAAACAACAACGAAGGAAACAACAAAGAAAAAGTCTTTAAAAAGGAGAGAAATAGAAGAGAGAGAGAGAGAGTACTTTTTGTAGTATATATTTGGAATCCAATCTCGTAATTTGTAATTAATTCTTGGGTCATTGATGATGGTAAGAGATAATGATGATGACATTGTGGGTCTCCTCAATTTCTGCTACAACAGAGAACTCACTATCACAGGAAAAAAGCTGACATGTCATTGAACAAGAATAGTAGAAGCACTAGTAGAGTCTTACTCGTATATTAGAAAGCAGAGCGGTCTTTTTTGAATGGTTTTACTCAATATAACTAGAAGCCTCCAGAGTGTTAGCCCGTTTGACATAGTTTGGTTTATCTTGTTTTTGTTTTTAGACTGTTATTGTCGATTTTACTAATAGAAGTATATTTGAAGTTGTCTTATTTTATTTTATAGTGTTAAAATATTTTACGAACAGTAATCTTTAAAATCAAACTAATAAAAAAGTATATTTTTTCTTGCTTTGATAATTATTAATGGTCCAAAACCATAACTCTGTTTTTGACATTTCTACAGTAAAACATTGTTCGCAAACGTGCTTCTTATTTTTTTCAAAACATTTTTACAATAAAAATACTATTTATATTTTAGCCAAAAATGCCAAACGAAACAAATAATAAGGGTGTTTTTTGGTTTATAATTAAGAATTTAGAAAATAAATTTATAGAATTATAAAAGATAATTATTTAAAAATAGATTTTTTTTATAATTGAATTAAAAAAAAATTGAACGAAGAAATTTTTTTGTATTATTTTATGATTTTCAGAATTACAAATTAAGGATACCGTTAATTATTTTACTGCTTTCACTACCTATGATTGAATAATACAACTCAAACTGAAAATTTGTTTAATGGAAATATCAAAATAGTTCATGGAATTAGTGGTTTTCTATATCAAATACTCAAACAGAGAATTATATATTTTGGACAGACACATTTTAAACATAACTTTTTATTATTATTATTTTATTCGATAGGTCAATTTTAAACATATGAGTGGGTTTTTTTTTATATACTTTTTATCTGATTTATTCTTTTGCCGTTTTTTTATTGGTGGGCTTTTTAAAATTAGGTAGAAAACCTACTAAAGGAGCAAAAAGTGATGTGATTCCTGGGGGTCTACACGATGTTGAGAGCCTTGCAAATGATAGCCACTGAAAAATGGTAAAATATCTGGGTGGAGTATTGATTCCAATTTTTTTGCAAAACATAACCACTCGAGTCACTTTGGGACTTGGTTTTGAAACTTTTTATTTTATTTTTTTGCTTCAAAATTCTTTGCCGAGCTTCACTGTGAATGACGCCCTGTAAGCGGAATCACTTAAAATTTTATATTGTGGGTGATTTATGCTTTATGAAGCACAAATACGAATAGGGGTAGAGTCAGAATTTTTTTTTAGAGGGAGCACGAAGCATTTATTGAAAAAAAAAAAAAAAAAAAAATTAAATCATAGGCAAACAAGAAAAAAAAATTATTATAAAATAATATACTAATAAGTATTGTAAAAAAAAATATACTTACAAATATATGAATCAAAATATTGATTAATAATATTGTAATAAAATACAAGCACAAACGTCGTCGATAAAAAGAAAAAAGTGGAAAAAATGAAACAATATATAATTATACATAAGTTAAAAAAGAAACTTTTTAAAAAAGGAAACACAAATTAGAAAAGGAAAAATATACGGTGCACTTGAAAAAGGGGATATATGTAAAGAATTTTTTTTTTTTTTCCAAAAGGAGATTAGAGGAATTTGAAAATTTTAGGGGATACTATTTAAAGAAATTACTATATAAATATATGTATATAGAAAAAATATATATATATGTATAGTAGGTTGGAGCAAGGACAAAATGACACGTGCCCCCTCTGGGCCTTAATTAGGGGTGGCAAATTATAACACGACACGGCAACACAACACGAGTTAAGAGGGTTTGAGTTTGGCATAAACGGGTTTGGGTCATAAAAGGGTTGACACAATTAACCTGTGTACTTTGCCGTGTTGAGTTAGGGTTGAGGAATTCAACGTGTGTAACCCGTTTATGACCCATTTAACTCAACATGTTATAATTATAAATATGACCTATGTAATATGTGACTTGTTTAAACCCAATTATTATGAATAATTAAGTCATTTCAATATAAACCTCATCTATCCCATATGATTTTTCTTTTTATTTTGAATATTTGGGTTAATTATGACAACTTTTTTTCTATTATTTAGTATTTGATTAAATATTAAATGTCTCGTTTGATAAACGGGTTAACACGTTTACCTGTTTAATAAACAGGTTAACACGTTTAGGGTTAGTGTTAGAGGATTATTGACACGATTATTAAATGTGTTGGATTTGGATTTACCTATTTAGTATAATACCTTTACATTGACACGACACAAACATAAATTGCCACCCCTAGCCTTAATTGACTCCACCCCTGGATACAGATACAAATGCAAAATATGGGTACAGCATGATATAAGTACGGTGATACAATAGACGTAAAAAAAATAAGATACGAGCATAACACTAATTCAGAATTTAGGGTTAAATATTTTTTATTTTTATTTTTAAAAATTTTATATTATTTTAATTACTTATAAAACATTTTAAATTACATTGACTTTCATTTTTTTTTTTTTTTTTATAATTATTAAATTAGCCTGTAGTATTCTGAAAGTGTTCAAATCATGCTCGATAAAATAATAAAATATTTACTATTCAAATTTTTTTTAATTGTATTTGATACGTCTCCACGCGATATCTGCATATTAAAAAAAAATGGGTGAAGTGCAAAAAAACACTCATTTAATATGCTTACTGTGTATATTGCACCCCTCACAGGTAAAAAAAACACCCTCAAATTATGACATTTGTGCAAATAGGACATACTCACACATTTTATGACTAAAATGCCCTTAGATACACATTTAATAATATATATAAAAAATTAAAATTTTGTGAAATGACAAAAAGGGATAGCTAAAAAAACCCCACAATCTGTACCCAGTTCGCTGCCGGAGGAAGAGAAGAAGACACCTAGAAAATTGATCGACCAAACTCACCGAGAACAAAACCACCCAAGGATAACGGCACAACAAACTGCGAAAAGACTGCTACCCAAGCACCGATACCCGCAAGGCCCAACAAACCCCGCCGGAGAAGAATCCCAATCGAACCAGACTCATCATTCGAAGCCGCAGTTCACAGCCCATCGCCGGAATTGCGACTTCACTAGTCGCTGTTCGCTGCCATCGCCACCACTCGCCGAGTCTCCCTCTTGCTCGCTGGATACTGTTCCAAGCTCACTGCCCTCGTGAACCTCTATCAGTTTAGTCTGAGTTTTCCTTGCTCGCCGGCTGTTTTCATCCTCACCAGTCCGTCACCGCCTTGCCCGCCGCAAGGCCACTGCAGATCAATCCCGCCGAGTCTCCCTCTTGCTCGCCAGCCGCAGTTCACCGGCTAACCTCTCCACAGCCGACCCCTCCATAGCCAGTCATACCAACACGGACGAGCCCTGCATCGGCCGAACTTGCCGCTGCACCAGCCTGTCTCCACCGACCAAGCTCACTGTTGCTGTCTCTCCACCATCCCAGCACTGCCGAAGTTCATCCACAACCCATCTTGCCCACTGTGATACCACAGGTTGTGGTGATGGCACCAGATTGAATGCAATTTGTTGTGGTTGTGGGTTTCCGAAGACAAATAAGGAAGACGAACAAGGCAACAGTGATCTGGGTTTGATAGGGGCATTTTTGGGAGAGTATAAGGATAAAATGGATATTATATTAATTAAGGAATATTTTTGTACAAATTAAAAGGAATAAGAGAGTTTTTTTACACACTTTTAAAATAAAAGATAAAAATGTTATGAAAGATATATTTTAGAAATATTTTTTGTATTTATCCCAAAAAAAAAAAAATGAATATCTAATACCGTTTATATATCATTAAATGTTTAGCTGGTCGTTGTTGATGGGACAGCGAGAGTTCGTAATGTTTTTTTTTTTTTTTTTTGAAATTATTGCATTGGGATCATTGGTCCCACTGATCCACTAGTTAATAAAATTGACACAAAATTTGTCCTTTTGCTAGGGATTAGTTGAGATCAATGTGCCATGACAATGTAATCATCTCTCAATACTTTTCTTTCTTATTCAAAGCACGTGAAACACCTCGACCGTTGATGTTATATGATAATGTTGACAAAAATGTATAAATTTACAAAATATATGGGGTTAATAAGTTACTTTTTGCAATGAATAAAATACAGCCACACCTTTTGAGATTTGATAAAAGAATAGTCAAAGTAAATTTACCTATTTTTTTAAACAAAGACACCACATAAAGGTTCAAAAATGGAAAAAGATACCTATTTACATGAAAATTGACCAAATTACCCTTTGACAATTTATGAGACTTTTTTAACTTTAAAATTTAATAAATTGGACCGATCTACCCTCATGAATAATTTATGCATAAAAAAAAGTAAAAAAAAAAAAAACTTTATATTGTTTACTTTATAAATGTCCCAACTTCTAAAAAATGTAGACGTCTAAAATGATTTTTTGATTCAATACATATATTTCAAATTAATTATATTTTGTTATTACTTTTTTTCTTTTTTATTTTTAAATTAAGATTCTTAATTCTTTCATCCAAAAAAATTAAACCAATCTATTTTCTTTAAAAATAAAAAATATGGTACCAGTATAACTTTATGCATCTTAAATTTTATATCAATATTATATATTTCCCAACATAAAATAAAATAGGTACCCGTATAACTTTTGCATGCCTTTGTTTTATTTTATTATTATTTATTATTATTATTATTATTTTTTTTTCCCTTTTATGTTTGGAAATGCATAATATTTGATATATAATTTAAGATGCATAAAATTATACTGGTATCATATTTTTTATTTTTAAGGAAAAGAGATTGATTTATTTATTTTAGATGAAAGAATTAAGTATCTTAATTTAAAAATAAAAAAGAAAA